CCGCCCAGCGCCCTTCCTCGGGGCCCTCCGCCCGCCCAGCGCCCTTCCTCGCGGGCCCTCCTCCGCTGCTCCTCCGCTGCCGCTCCCAGTGGCCTCTCAGGCCCTGATCTCCACTCGGCTTTCCTGCACATGCATCGGTCACATGCCCGTGTGCTGGGCCTTGTGTATTTACCATGAATGCATTATTATCCTAGCATTCAAATATGACATATACACACAGTGCTGTACATACCAATGCATTGTGTTTACTGCATCTTATTTGTGTATCAAAAATACTATGCACAATACATACTCTATCTTCTGTCGTATTTACTTATGATGACGTGTGTGCTGTACCATTTGTTTTGTGCATCTATTTATTGTATCAAGTTCACGTATTACTTATGTACTTATTGTCTTTTTGTCAAAATGCCAGCTCAAGGAGGACAAGGGTTTTGTCTGCTTTGTAGAAGAACGAACTTATTTATAAAGGGCTCACTGCAAAGTGTCCCCTCTGCCAGGGTCTCGGGGGCTGGCCACGCCGGGCGGTGCTGAGCAGACGCCTCAGAGTTCAGGGCCACGCTTTCCTCCAGGCTTTGTGCAGTCAGACCAGCCCACTGCGTTTCCTCAGCAGTGAACTGAGGAGTAAACCCTGCCCAACACAGGCAGGCGGGTGCAGACTGCTGACACTTGTTTGGTTTTTTTTAAAACTGTATTTTTTTAACTGTATTTTCTTTGTTGGTACTGGGGATCTAACCCAGGACATTGCACTTGCTAGGCAAGCGCTTTGCCACTGAGCTACATCCCAGCCCTACTGACACTTTCAAAAATGATGCCAGAGGAGAACTGATTATCAGTATCTTGCCAGACTAACCTGGGCTATTGCTCTAAGTCCACCCTCTCCTGGCCCCCTTCCTGGAGACCAGAGAGAGTGAGTGGATGGCTCGGACTCAGGCCACAACCCTAATGCCAAGTCCCATGTTCTCAGGGAAGGCCTTCCTCCTTCAGCCTACAACCCCTGAAGATGAGGGCCAGGTTAGAGCGGTCCCTATCACACTCCATAACGAATTCCATTAGTATCAGGCAGAATCTACTGGCTACATTTCACAGGATAAAAACCAAAGCCCAGACGGAGGCACACAGAAGCAGGCAGAATCCAGCAGCCCGATCTCAGCCTGACCCTGAGCACCTTCCCCCAGAGCGAAGGCCCGAGAGTCTCCACAGCCTCAGAAGCTTCCTCTGAAAAGGAAGCCAACAGTCTGCCAGCACACACAGGTGCTCAGCTAATGGTCCTTCCCATCACTGTGCTACGGCTAGAGGGTCTCCAGAGAGGAAGGCAGCAATGGCTGTGAGGCTGGGGGAGGGAGAATCCAGGACCTGGAGGGAGGGAATGTCTGGGGCCTGCCTGAGATCAGGGGCTGGGTGTGTGTGGGCCTCCCACTTGCCTGCTCAGGGCCTCTTGGCTCAGAAGAGCTGCCTGGAGGCTAAGGGATGGGGAGGGCTTCTCCACCTGGACTCTCACTAGTTTTCCGCACCCCAGGGCCTCACAGGGCACTGACACATTCCGTGGGAGGCTCTAGATGGCTGTCCAGTGCTGGGTGTACGATGACCAGATCTGGCTTTTCTGTCTTCAGTGCTTGAAGCTCCTGCTGTGACTGCCCACTCAGCTCCACAGAAGCCAGACTACAGCCACATGCACACAACAGGAAGGCGGGTCAGCAGTTAGAATCTGTGTGAGACTGGAGACCTTCTAGGGAGTAAAAGGCTATTGGGTTCACTGGCCCAGACTTCAGGCATGGGTAACTTGGTTCAGGCCTAGGGCCAGGGTGTGGGAAGATAGGTGTCTTCAAGCTGGAGCCTCACGTGAGGTTGGTCACGTGAGCTGGGCATGTGGGGGGTGTCTTGGAGGGATTTCCCTTAAAGGTGCAGGAGAAACCCTCACAGCCTCTGGCCCCAGAGTAGGTAGGCTGTGCCTCAGCACCCCCTTTACCTAAGGGTCTGCAGGATGCATCCTGGATGCCGCAGGACTGAACACAGATGGGTCACCATGGGGCCTGTCAGCTGGCAGCCACTGAGGTCCAACGTGCTGAGGGCAGAACTGTGCCGGAGCAGTCCAACTAGGTACTGGAAGGCTCCCTGCAGGTCCAGCAGCTGCACCCTGGGGAGAGGGCTGACCTCAGGTACTGCTGGGGCTGGGGTCCGGTCCATCCCCTCCAGGCCGGGCCTCACCTGAGGGTCTGCACCTGGCACTTTGGCCAAGCCAGGCCCTCACTCAGCATCCGCATGCCTGCCTGGCTGAGCCGGTTCTGGAGGAGGTTCAGCTCTGTGAGGGAAGGGGCTGCCCTCAGGGCCTCGGAGAGGTCTTGGCAAACCACGTCGGGGAGTTTGCAGTGAGCCAACCTGTGATCGAGAAGCAGGGGGACTTGTGTGCAGGCGCCTGGCCATTTCTCAGCGACATAGACTGCCCACTCCTTGGTGGGCTGATGCTCAGTCAAGAGATGCATGGGCCTCTCTTAAATGTCCATCAGGTTGAGATGGGCAATTACTTGTTTAGTCAGCCAGTCCCTGATTGTTGGGCAGTTGTGCTATTTTTGTCTTTTTTTTTTTTTTTTAAATCAACGTGCTGAGCATCTTCCTACACTCAGTACTGGTACTGGTAGGATTGTTGAGCCGTCCTGGGCTTCTCACGTTAACTGGCAGCAGTCCAGCCCTTCGTCAAGCTAGTTTACCATCTGGCTGTTAATGTACAACTACTCTTTCATCATGCTCTGTCAATACCAGTCCCCATAGCTTTTATTTCTTTCTGCTCACTGGTTGGAAAGACACCTCATTCTAAGTACCTTCTGAGCCTCACTAAGCAACACCAAGCCTCTGAGGCAAAACCTGCCAGCTGCGTTTTACAGGGAGGAAACGAAAGCCCAGAGAGAGGCACCCAGCAGCAGGCCAGGGTCCACAGCCAGCCTGAGCTTGGAGGCCGACTCCAGCCATCTCCCACAGCACTCAGAAGCACCGTCTGGGGAGAAACGATACCCTTCAGGGTGGCAGCCCGTGGCCTTCCACACAAATCAGCACAGACTGCTTTCTAGTGGCACCTAACTCAGCCATGGGTGCCTAACAGGCTCTAGCTTTCCCCATGAGCCTGACTTCTGGCTCTCCACAGGGCGCTGGGCTGTGAGGAGCCAGGGCATGCGCACTCACGTTAGGCTTTGCAGACCACACTGCGGATCAGCCATGGCCTCACAGAGTGGACGCAGCAGGGAAACTGGGAGATGTTTTGTGGTGGCTCGAGAACTGTCAGGAGAGAGAACAATGTGAGGCCCACTGTACCCTTTCTAGAAAGGGGTCCTTCCTATCTTAGCTTCTGCAGCACTGGAGCTGGCTTTGCCACTCATCCCCATACCAAGTCAAGACCCTTCCACCCTCAGTATCTTCCCCCGCCAAACCCAGAAATGGGTTCCCTGGGCCCAGCCTCTGTCAACAACCTAGCAGAGGCTGAGCACTGAGAACAGGTGCTGCTGGAGCCAAGTGCAAAGAAACTCTAGCACCAGCTTCATTTGGAGGAGCTGAGGCTCTGGTGGAGGATGGGCAGTGGAGAGAGCACGGTGTAGGCTGGTTAAGGGGCCCTCCTGGGACCAATGGAAGCCTAAGCAAGCTGGGGAACCAGGGTGCGTTTGAGGACTGGCAACAAGCACAAAGCTCAGGGTAAAAGGGCATAGCTGCCGGGCGCGGGTGGCTCACACCTGACATCCTAGCTACTCAGGAGGCTGAGAGCTGAGGATTGCGGTTCAAAGCCAGCCCCAGCAGGCTGTGACTCTTATCTCCAATTGGCCAGTAAAAATTCTGAAGTGGAGATGTGGCTCAAGTGGTGGAACTCCATTTGAGCAGAGAAAGCTCAGGGACAGTGCCCAAGTTCTGAGTTCAAGCCCCAGGACCTGCATACCCAGACAGACACACAGGCACACAGACACACACAGAGTATATTATGAGAAGACAAGGAGGAGAAGCTGAGCTGTGTGGAGGCATGGCGGCTACGCTGATGGTGGAGGGGGGGAAGTGCGGGAGGGAACCTGGGGGAGATGAGCAGCCACCTGACAAGGGGGAGGGCAGAGCCAGCTCTCAGGTCCCTTTTGGGGTCTGGAGCAGCAGGCTTCGGGTCTGAGCAGGCCTCCGCAGCCCCGCCGGGCCCGGGGCACCAGCACACGGGCCCTACGGCCAGAGGGCGGCCCTGACCCGAAGACTCACCCCTGAAGCCGCTTCATCAGACTCTTCTTTTCCTTCTCCTGGGCGGCCACCAGCCTGCAGGCGCGCAGCCTCAGCGCCTGCCCCGCGGGGCAGCACCGCACGCAGTAGCTCAGGACCTCGAGGTCCATGCGGCTGAAGCGCACTCGCTCGAGCACCAGCTCGGGCAGGCCGCTCAGGGCCTGGCGCACGAAGGCGTCGTCCTGGGTCTCGTACAGGCAGTACAACAGCTGCAGCTGGAAGCAGTCCTCCTCCTCGTCCTCCCCGCCCTGCCCCTCGCCCGCCGGGGCCGCCCCGCGCCGGCCCTGC